TTTTTTGTATTTTTAGTAGAGACGGGGTTTCACCGTGTTGACCAGGATGGTCTCGATCTCTTGACCTCGTGATCCACCCGCCTCGGCCTCCCAAAGTGCTGGGATTACAGGCTTGAGCCACCGCGCCCGGCCTACCAAGAATCATTTTGAGGCACTAATGATTTGTGGTACACCCTTTAAGGTCAACATCCTAGTTGGACTCTGTATCTTTAGTCTTTAAGAGTTCATGTGCTGGGTGAACTACATGCTCTCTCTCTCTCTCTCTCTCTCTCTCTCTCTCTCACTCTTTATCTCCCTCACCTTTCTCTCTCCCCAACCTCTTTCTCCCAGATAAGATCTCACTGTGTCCCCCAGGCAGGAGTGCAATGGTGCAGTCATAGCTCACCACAGCCTCAAACTCCTGGGCTCAAGCGATCCTCCCATCTCAGCCTCTTAAGTATCTGGGCCTACAGGCATGTGCCACCACACCCAGCTAGTTTTTATTTTTTGTAGAGAGAAGGTCTCGCTATATTTACCAGGCTGGTCTTGAACTCCTGGCCTCAAGTGACCCTCCTACCTCAGCCTCCCAAGCTACCTGAGATTATAGGTGTGAGCCACTGTACCCGGCTACCTACGTGATCTCCTAATTCCCACTAAATCCTGAGACTACAAGGTACTGATCATTTCAGATGTTCCCTCAAATTCATCAGAAAAACCACTTTCTAGGAACACTCCTATTTTGTTACATGAGATCCAGCTATGCAATACGTTCCAATTTGTATTTCAGGATGGCTGACTTCAGGCTGAGGAAACTGAGGATACCTTGGCTTTCAGAAGGAGCAAGATGAGAAACTCTGAAGAAAGCTCTGACTCTCAGGAAGTTATCTGGAAAGACATCTGGATGTTTACTGTCTCGTGACACTGTAAGATCTCCGTGTTTAGACTATGTGATAGGGAACTGACTCTAACTATGAACTACTTATTTCCTCCCTACTCCCAGCGAAGTGCCACAAAGACTGTGTTATGTAGTCAGTAGTTTTCTCATTTATCTTTCTCTAGAGCCATCTATCTACGGGTGAAACAAAAGCTTTTTTGCATGTACTTGATACTCATTCTGTAAACTCAGACCTTGCTTTTTTTGTGAGAATATCCTTTCAATATTTTTATAAACGTTTGTGTGTGCTGTGGCAGGGAACAGTTAACAGGGAGTTGATTTAGAGGTTGTTTTTTGTTTTTTGGGTTTTTTTTTTTGGTGTGCTTTTTGGATGGCACCAGGACTTAACATTTTCCTGAGGACAAGGAAGCTCTTCAGACACTGGAATGAAGTGATTCTTATAGTCAATTGCAAGAAGAAACTGTTTACATTGTTCCTACCATACAGTTGCTATAATATGTAACAAGTCACATATGTATATATCACAGAAGTCTTACCAATTCTGCATTACTGGGAAGCTATGACATGGTTGTGAAAGCTCTCCTAATACTTATAATAGCCATGGAAGAAAATTAACTATGCTTGTCCCTTCTGACTGGGTTAAGCCATCTTTAAGATTCCTGAAGTAGAAATAGCAATTAAGAAATCAATTCAAGATTTGAAGGTTAAAATTTAGCAGAAAAACATAACATTGAATAAGCCACTAGGTGAAATGCAAAACAACCATCAATTTTTTAAAACTCAAAGTAAGAATTTTGTTAAGGAAAAAAAAAAAAAAAAAAAAAAGCTTTCAGTTATGAAAGAGAACCCTTGTGCTCTTCCTAAGAAATTGCTTTCCTCAAAGAATATTCATAGAAAGAAAATAATCATAAATTACCTGTAACATTTCATTTAAGCTTTTAAAGAAGTATCAATCTTTTAAATAGCTCCCTTTTACCCAAAATAACTAGTTATGTGTCTATTTCTTCCATTATTAGAGGACAGAGAACTTGATTCAAGATACCAAAAAATAGGCCAGGCGTAATGGCTCACGCCTGAAATCCCGGTACTTTGGGAGGCCAAGGAGGGGAGATCACTTGAGGTTGGGAGTTCGAGACCAGCCTGACGAACATGGAGAAACTACATCTCTACTAAAAATACAAAAAACTAGCCAGGCGTGGTGGCACATGCCTGTAATCCCAGCTACTTGGGAGGCTGAAGTAGGAGAATCGCTTGAACCTGGGAAGCAGAGGTTGCAGTGAGCCGAGATTGCACCATTGCACTCCAGCCTGGGCAACAAGAGTGAAACTCCATCTCAAATAGAGATGAGACTGAGCCTGTGAATGACAGGAATGATCTGCTACCAAATGACTAGTCAGAAACTACTCCACAGAGATGTACTGGTCTACATTTGGGGCTAAAGTGTATATATATATATATATATATTCCATTTAAAATGGAATTTGTCCCAAATAGCGGCAGTCTTCAGTAAAGCCTTTCTTTCTCCTCTCTTTTCTCCATTGAGGACAGTTCTGCTCAGCAAGATTGCTGAGTACCTGCTCTGGGCAAGTCCCATGCTATATACACAAAGGTAAGCAAAACTTGGTCTTGGCCCTTCAGAGCTGACAACCCATGGGCATTAAGGCAAAGTCGTTCTAGTGATTTAAAATATGGTTCAAAATATGTTAGAAACGACTTGTGCCAACCAGATTTACAGATTGGAAATACTGCAGATGAAGTTATTAGTTGATGGAGCTGTGATTAAGCTTGCTAATAAGTGAACACGCTGTCTGTAAGGACTCAGAGGGCAGCCAAACCTAGATGTCAATTTCATGTATATATACTATCTACTACTATCCATAAATGCAATGATATGCATGTTAACAACATTAAAAACAGAAAACAGCAATCTAAGTACCGAAAAGCTTTTTTTGTGTATTTAAAAAAATTGAAGAAAATCCAGGAAGAAACTTGTTAATAAACATTGTACTGTTCTTTTACTTCTCAAAGGCTCTTTGCCACTTAGTTTATTTTTGAGTTTTCATACATAGGAAGTTTTATATTGTCAGTCTTCCTGTGACAAAGATATTAAATGTAACTCGAGTAAAAAAGAATAAATAAATATGTATCTACATATATAACTATATATGTACCAGTATATTGTGTGTGTATATACACAGTAAGTCCTCACTTGTCCATAGATTCTTGGAAACTGCTACTTTAACAACTTGAAGTTGGTCTTGAAACACCTATAACAAGACCAACTTTTAGCTCATCAATGTTGTAGCAAAATGAAATTGAATGAAACTACTTGTGGAGGACCAGTTTGAACACTTCATTTGACTTAAAGTTGCTGTTTCCAACAACCTACAGACCATGTTAAGTGAGGACTTGCTACACACACACACACACACACACGCAACCCTATTATTACTTTGTTGAAGAAGAATTTAAGTCTGTAACAAAACTGCTTTATAATTTTGATTATGTCACTTACTGATGACCAATGACTCTGATGTTTCCAATCTATCAATTTCCCACAATCAGTAAAATAAAGAAAATGGGCAAATCCATGATGGGGCAAAAAGAACAATCACAATTGACTACTCCAGATCTTCATTTTGTAGGTTAAATGATCACTATCGCCCTGAAAATGGAAAGGAAAAACAAAAACAAATGCTTAACAATGAAGATGAAGCATGAAGGCAGGATTTATTAGATGCTTCAATTGTGTCTTCATTGGAGCATCTATGAATCGACTGATGCCTTCTCAAATCTGCCTAAACCATAGCAGCCATGACTGGTATTTGAATGCTTGTGTTGAGTGGATATCGCCCAAAGCAATAATGTGCCCAGATTTTCATGGTAAGTCTACAATACACAGAGCAGTTTGTAATTTAAAAATGAAGACAGGACTTCTACAGAGGAGAACATCAAAATGTTATTCATGGTAGGAAGCTTAAGTATTCCTAAGATAAATACATTAATTTTGCCAAAATATATAAAACTCCAGAATGACTGAGGAGATCGATTCAGTGAATCACAAAAGTGTACCTTTAGCATGCAGTTTCCAAACAGATCTAAATCTCATCTTGGCTGCCTATCGTCATGGAATCCCGGGCAAGTCACGTACATCTATTTGACCCTCAATTTCTTCATTTAAAAAAGAGATATTTCACTGCCTTCTTCAACTACCTCATAGAGTTTTGGTAAACATCAAGTCAGATAATAGATGTAAAAGTATTTGTAAAGACCTTATGTTATTATTTTGCCATTAAGCAGGATTATTCTCTAAAATTGCCTCAAAGCCCAGATTTTCTGTATATTAATTTGGAGGCTCTAAACCAAATATTTAAATTTTCTGTTAAAGATTTAAAGAAATATTAATGAAAATAGTCAAAAGAGATTTTCTTATTTCTGCCACTATGTATGTGTGTATGGTTAGTTCTGGTTTGATTGTAGCATTGACTAGTCCTGTCCTGTTTGAAAATAGACCAGCAAGATTAAGAAACCAAATGGGTAAAATGTAAATGAGTTAAAGATGGCCAAATAGGAACAGCTCCGGTCTGCAGTTCTCAGCAAGAGTGAGCCAGAAGGCAAGTGATCTCTGCATTTCCAACCAAGGTACCAGGTTCAGCACATTGGGACTGGTTAGACAGTAGATGCAGCCCAAGGAGGGCAAGCCGACGCAGGGTGGAGCATCGCCTCACATGGGAAGAGCAAGGGCCTGGAGAACTTCCTCTCCTAGTCAAGGGATACATTAGAGACGTTTCCCAAGACTCTGGCCCTCTGGCTCAAATACTGCACTTTTCCCATGGTCTTCACAACCCACAGACCAGGAGATTTCCCTCCGGTGCCTACAACACCAGCGCCCTGTGTTTCCAGCACAAAACTGGGCAGCTGTTTTAGCCACAGCAGTTTTTTTTTTTTTTCCTAATATATATTTTATTGCGTTTTAGGTTTTGGGGTACATGTGAAGAACATGCAAGATTGTTGCATAGGTACATTCATGGCAATGTGGTTTTCTGCCTTCCTCCCCATCCCCTATATTCTGGCATTTCTCCCCATGTTATCCCTCCCCAACTCTGCACCTATCGCTGTCCCTTCCCTACTTCCATCACAGACCCCAGTGTGTGATGCTCCCCTCCCCGTGTCCATGTGTTCTCATTGTTCGACACCCGCCTATGAGTGAGAACATGCGGTGTTTGATTTTCTGTTCTTGTGTCAGTTTGCTGAGAATGATGGTTTCCAGTATCATCCATGTACCTACAAAGGACAAAACCCATTGTTTTTTATGGCTGCATAGTATTCCATGGTGTATATGTGCCACATATTCCCTGTCCAGTCTATCTTTGATGGGCATTTGGGTTGGTTCCAAGTCTTTGCTATGGTAAACAGTGCTGCAATGAACATTCCTGTGCATGTGTCCTTATAATAGAATGATTTATAATCCTTTGGATATATACCGAGTAATAGGATTGCTGGGTCAAATGGAATTTCTATGTCTAGGTCCTTGAGGAATCGCCACACTGTCTTCCACAATGGTTGAACGAATTTACACTCCCACCAACTGTGCAAGAGTGTTCCTATTTCTCCACATCCTCTCCAGCATCTGTTGTCTCCAGATTTTTTAATGATCGCCATTCTAACTGGCATGAGATGGTATCTCAATGTAGTTTTGATTTGCTTTTCTGTAATGATGAGTGATGATGAGCATTTTTTCATATGTTTGTTGGCCTCATATATGTCATCTTTTGTAAAGTGTCTGTTCATATCCTTTGCCCACTTTTGAATGGGCTTGTTTTTTCTTGTAAATCTGTTTTTAGTTCTTTGTAGATTCTGGATATTAGCCCTTTGTCAGATGGGTAGATTGCAAAAATTTTTTCCCATTCTATTGGTTGCTGATTCACTCTAATGATTGTTTCTTTTGCTATGCAGAAGCTCTGGAGTTTAATTAGGTCCCATTTGTCTATTTTGGCTTTTGTTGCCAATGCTTTTGGAGTTTTAGTCATGAAGTCCTTGCCTATGCCTAGGTCAGGAATGGTTTTGCCTGGGTTCTTCTCTAGGGTTTTTATGGTGTTAGGTCTTCTGTTTAAGTCTTGAATCCATCTGGAGTTAATTTTAGTGTAAAATGTCAGGAAGGGGTCCAGCTTCTGCTTTCTGCACATGGCTAGCCAGTTTTCCCAACATCATTTTTTTTAAACAGGGAATCCTTTCCCCATTGCTTGTTTTTGTCAGATTTGTCAAAGATCGGATGGTTGTAGATGTGTGGTGTTGCCTCCGAGGCCTCTGTTCTGTTCCATTGGTCTATATTTCTGTTTTGGTACCAGTACCATGCTGTTTTGTAGTATAGTTTGAAGTTAGCTAGCATGCCTCCAGCTTTGTTCTTTTTGCTTAGAATTGACTTGGCTATGCGGGCTCTCTTTTGATTCCATCTGAAGTTTAAAGTGGTTTTTTCCAGTTCTGTGAAGAAAGTCATTGGTAGCTTGATGGGGATAGCATTGAATCTATAAATTACTTTGGGCAGTATGGCCATTTTCATGATATTGATTCTTCCTAACCATGAGCATGGAATGTTTCTCCATCTGTTTGTGTCCTCTCTTATTTCCTTAAGCAGTAGTTTGTTGTTCTCCTTGAAAAGGTCCTTTACATTCTTTGTCAGTTGTATTCCTAGGTATTTTATTCTCTTTGTAGCAATTGTGAATGGGAGTTTGTTCTTGATTTGGCTCTCCTTAAGTCTGTTATCGGTGTATAGGAATGCTTGTGATTTTTGCACATTGATTTTGTATCCTGAGACTTTGCAGAAG